TAAATTTATTTAATAAATATCACCTAAAATGTTAAAGTCCAGAAGTTTTGTCTGTCAGAAATAGTTGGTAAATCATGCTTTCACCATGCAAACACTATGGGATCAGACTTGCGGTAGTGACATAGTTTCTAAAACTCTACAGATGGCTTCATAAAAATATAGATAACAACTAGATGACCAAATTTTTGAAATATCTATAACCATACTATGTGAAAAGGCATCTTCAGGAAATCCAAAATGTGGATGCATGAGGAAAAACCACTGACACTGGTAAGCCCAGTAAAGTGTTAGCAATCATGCCAGAGGAAACGGATGGAAGTAATGAAGCATTTGATTAAAAAGAAAAAGAGAAAGAAAAACAAATTTCCTAGTTTAAGCCAAGATATCGGGGGGTTTCTGTTACGTAGAACTGAATCAAAAGACTAAACCATAGAAATGTGCGGTTTCTTCTTTTTAAACAAATTATCAAATTCACTAAAGTGAGACACTCCTGGGAAAGCATGGAGAGCCTATTTAGGAACAGAAGCTAAATCCTAGAAAAGTTTAGTGTGTGAATACAAGAGATCTCTGGTAAGATCTGAAGAGTCCGGGGTATTCTGGGATCATGAACCCCCCAAACTAACCAGCCAAAACCCCTATGGTCAAAGCACAGACTGAGGCCAGTCTGGGGATAAAAACCAAATTACACAGCACAAAGAAATGGCAAAAGTGAGGAGAAAAAAGATCCACGACAAAAGGGGGGCACACTTAGGAAAGAAAGCCGCGGTATGTTTTGACACTAGACAAAAACAACAGATGAAGCAGTTTTAAATCCTGAGACAAGAAAACTTTCTCCTTAAAGTACATAAAAATTAACTTCCTAAGAAGGGCAATAAAGAAGGTCCGCATCTAACCCTAGACAGAGTCACTGCAGAGGAAAAGGAGAGTAAGCAGCAGAATAACTTCACTGCAGACCAGGAGAGCAGCCAGAAAGTGAAGCAAACAGAAAATCAACATAAAAACTACCATACATTATTTAAAAATGAGCTAAAAGATATCAAGAGGTTAGATCAGACTTATGAGAGCACATAAACAAATTTAGAAATGTAGTGATAGAACTCAGAAAAAGAATCGGTATTCAAAAACTCAGTTTAGATATAAAGACCAAACTGAAAGGAATGTAATTACAAATGAACGAGTAGGAAATGCCCTAAGAGAAAGAAAAGATTAAAATAAGAAATATTTTTAAATTAAAAAGAAAATTAGATAATAACTAATATCACTCATAAATAAATCTAAATAACTATTCGACAAAGTATTTTAACTCAGTATCTCCAGTCTAACAACAAAAAGCCTTCAAAAAAATCTTGAATTTTATTAAATATGCTGATTCTAATATATACAGTCCTGAAAGTATTTTACCTGTATAGCAAGATGAAGCTAATAAGTACAATTATTAATCCTATTGGTCAACAGAATTCTCATGGCAGAAGGGATAATGTTGACTGAAGGCAGTAAAGAGCCTTCTGTGTTGTAGTAGCATTCAAGGTATTAATGTGAAATCACGATAGAAAAAGGAGTCTATTTTCTACTATTTTCTCCTGTATTTGCTGAAAGGGCCTAGGAACCATTACACCCCAACAACAATGAACACGTCTAGTTTCCAGACCTTCATTTCCAAATACCATTCTCTACTGAAAGAACTGACCTCTCTGGAAAGGCTGATTCCAGAGCTGTGGCTGGAAAGGCACAGAATTCAGAGTAGGTGACACACCAGCAGCTGACGTCACACATTTAACGCACATACTTTCATCTTTGCATAAGTGACCACAATGGCCAATGCATCAAAACTGTGTCACAGCAGACACATTTCCTAACCTATCTATGCAGGTTACATTGTTAGTGCTACATTTGAAAAATAGAAAACACAGGCAAAACTGGAAAGGTGTGTCACATCAAATGATATCAAGTGTATTAAATGATCTAATGTGATGCTTCACACACACTGCACATGGAATAAATGTTTGCTTCCTATACTGTTTGGCATTCTTTTACTCTTTTTAACAACCCATTAACCCAACCACTAATCCCCACTAGGACCTCAATATAGCTGCCTTTACTTAGGTTTTGAAGATAGAGAATCTGATGACAATATTTCATTCTAAAACAAAATGTACTTCTATTACTTCTTATCATTCATATGAGAAATAGTACCACATGGCATTAGTCCTAATAACCTTTAGGTTTTAGCCTGTATATAATATTTCAAACAGTTTAAGTGAAGCATTTTCAAGCAAGATGCAAAACAAGATGGTGCGGAAAGACCTTTGTCGTGCCCAGAAACAGACATGTAAGAGGCCTAATCATTTGGACTGCGGGATTGTGGGAATCCATAGGTGCCTCTCGGGGCATTTTTTTCATATTTCCTGGCTGTTGGTTGCACTTTCTCAAAGATGACTCCAGAAATACTTTTCTGATTCTGCCTCCTCTAGCCTCTCCGTTTATGGATTCAACAAATATTTTCTGAGCACCGGGCACATGTCAGGCATTGTGTTAGATGTTGGAGATGCAGAGTGGAAAAAAGAGCTCTGGTCTCTGTGCCTCCCAGAACTCATGTGCCTTGGAGAGACAGATGATGACACAGACGACTAAGATACAGGGAGGTAAGTACGCAAGGATTTGATGAACACACTAGAGCCAAATGTCACAGATATTTGTCCTAAGCAATTGAAAGGACATTGGAAGATTATAAATTGATGAATAAATTATTAGATTTATATTTTTAAAAAATTACTCTGTGCATGCTATGAAAAGTATAATAGGAGGGGAGCAAAACTTCCAAGGCAAGTTTCCCATGGAGCCAAATAACAGAAAGCACATTATACGTATAACAACAATGATGATATTTTAAAAGACTCTAACAAGAATGCAATATTGGGCGGTGGCTCAAGGGAATTGGGCACTGGCCCCATATGCCGAGGTGGAGGGTTCAAACCTGGCCCTGGCCAAAAACTGCAAAAGAAAAAGAATGCAGTATCTACTTTGCTACATGCTATGTGTATATATTCAAAATCTCAGTTCCCACAAACAAACAGGGAAATGAGCACTGCTATTAGCTTGTGCTCTTTGCAATTCTACAGATGAGGAAATTCAGGTTTGGAGCGTTAAGTCACGTGCCTAACGGCAAAGAGCTTTAAAGAAGGAATGAATTCAAATCAGTCTGTCTCGAACCACTGTGACACATTACTCTGACATCTCGTCTCCACAAAACTCACCCAAACTCTATTCACACATGCTGAGTTTTTAGAGCATCTCCCCAGGAACAAAGTTTTTATCTCATGTTATGTGAAGATCAGAGTGAACATTGATTCTAAGAGAGAAAAACTAAATCCCAAGGACATAAACCCAAGACAAGTCCCTTCAGTTAGGTGATTATTTAGTACACAGTATACGCTTAATTTACATGGCAAACATAAGGCAGAAATAACATTTTAAATAAGCATTTGTCAGCAACTGTCCAATCCTTTCCCTATCCTTTATTCCAGGCGACTTGACGTGTCCCCACTTGCGAGCTCATGCTCTCTCATGCTTTGACCTCAGCTTGAAAGGTTATAAACCACTTCCTCAGAGGTTGCAGGTGCCTGGATATGGTCAGTTCTGCTACTTGTTCCTCACACTTGTTTATCTTAAATATTGTCACCTGGGATTTAGCACATACAGGCTAATGTAGGAGGCCATTGTCTTTGTCTTCCCACAGAATGTTGAATCTCATTTCAGAGAAACTTACTTATCTTTTGTTGTTTTTGTTTTGTTCACTTCAGAGAATGTTTATTACCCTATTCTAGACCTACTACAGTCCTAACTGTATTTCAGGGGCAAGTTTCATTTCCGTATTATGAAATTTACCATTTGGAACTGATAATAAGATATATGAAAATGTTCATTTTTTCACATATTTGATGTTTGCTATGACTAACACATATAAATTGATGACAGAGTATTCTGTCTTATATCAGTAAGGATGATATTGAGATAGTCTAGCAGAAAAAGTTTTCCTGTATTTGCAAAGATCAGGTACAGAAAATTGTGCAAGAAACAAGGACAGAGGAAAAAACAACTAAGGAAAGAATAATATAGATTGACATGGTAGCAGGAGTCTCAGCAAATACACCTAACAAAATATAAGACCTTCATACACACGTTTCATGTTTGGGATTTCTAGTGTATCTCACTGTACAGTTCATGGCTTATATTCTGTTAGATTCCATTTCAGGAGAGAAATCCAGTATATGTTTTTGATATCTTTAATAAAGTCTTTAAGAATTATTCTGATAATTTATTAATAAAAACTTTATTAATTGGTTATCACATAGTCAATTAAAAAAAAGTCTACCCTGGCAGGGTAGACCATGGTCCTAAGGAAACTTATGGCCTTCCTGGTCCTTCAGTGAACTCTTTCACTGAATCTAAATTTTACATAACAAATCCTTTCATTAAATGAATGAAATGAATGCAGCAAAGAAAGATGAAGCTTTTCTTGCCTTCTTCAGTGTTTCAAAGAGAACAATCTTAGAAAAAGTATCCAATGTACACAGCCCTACTTTGAAACTAATTTATAGCCTTCTTAGGAATGTTATAACCTAATTATAGCCTTAG